AGGTTTTGGTGAAGAGTTACTGCCGTATTTTTTAGTGTTGAAGGGTGTATTTTAGGTTGAAGAAAGGTGCTAGGTTTCTGATTGTGTTTTCTTTATTGTGTTTCTCTCTCTATATGTAGTAAAAATGGTCAGGCATCGGGTGAGGGGAAAATAATTGGAGACCAAGAAATACGTGAGTGTGTATGTGCAGGTGATAGAGGGGATAATGGGGATGTGAGTGGGAGACATGAGTGGTGAAAGTGGGAGTGTGCGTGGGGGAAGTGGGAAGTGAGTGGAGGAAGTGGGAAGTTAGGTATTGGGGAGATGAGTGGGGAAAAATTCAAGCACGGTCAAAACTTAGGTGCTCTCAGCATGACTCTCTTTGCTTGGAAACATGAAGAGTTTTCAGGCAAAGACAAGGTTATCCATGTGACTAATTTTTGACCAAATCGTTATTCAAAAAGGAAAAGAAATAAAAGATAGGGTGCAACCGAGTCCTGGTTTTGGGAAGCCTGCATATCCCGGGTTATAGGGGAATCAGGTCGCGTGTAGTTTAATGAGAATGGTGGAATGATAAGTTGTAGAGTTGTGTGAGGTTCCGTCGAGGCTCCGATCTGTGGTCTTGTTATTACATCAAGATCAAAAGAAATTAAATGAGCCTATCAGCTATCAGTTACAAGATTTCAATCTATAAGTCTTCTAAAACTTGAACTTGAGTCTTGACTAGTTTTTCACGCAGATTCTGATCTGAACCTTGATGCTATCTAGTTGCAGGTGCTAGTTCATTCTTTTATGGATTCTTCTAATCAAACGGGAATTGTAAAGCTCGTAACTTTAGTCGTCTTGAGCAGTCCATATCCTTTCCATCTTCTTCTGCATTTGGATTCAATTCTCTCTTTTTTTTGGATTGAGACTTCTTCTTTTGTTCATCTTGAACCATGTGCCTAGAAGTAAAACTTGCTCAGACACTAAAACAAAACAAACAGACATAATTTTTCTGCCCCATTTTTCATTAGGAGAATTTCGTGAGTTATTTGTAACAAAAACTCTAAACTACTTCATTATTGAAATCAATAAAAAGGCCGGGAATGGTGTACCCTGGGAAAAACATGATTCTTTGGGAATGGTATACCTTGATTGACTAAATGGTGACTCAACTAAGGAATGGTGTACCTTAAGTTGGGGAAATGCGATAGGGAATAGTGTACCTTGATACTGGTAAAGAGATTAGGGAGTGGAGACCCTATGTCTAAAAATAAAAATCAACTAGGGAGTGAATACCCTATGTTGGAAATGAGACTAGGGAGTGGAGACCCTATGTCTAAAATAAAATCAACTGGAGAGTGGAGACCCTATGTTAGAAAAGAGACTAGGGAGTGGAGACCCTATGTCTAAAATAAAATCAATTAGGGAGTGGAGACCCTATGTCTAAAATAACTTCAATTAGGGAGTGGCGACCCTATGTTGGAAAAGAGACTCGGGAGTGGAGACCCTATGTCTAAAATAACTTCAACTAGGGAGTTGAGACTCTATGTTGGAAAAGGAGACTAGGGAGTGGAGACGCTATATTTAAAAATAAAAATCAACTAGGGAGTGGAGACTCTATGTTGGAAAAGAGACTAGGGAGTGGAGACCCTATGTCTAAAATAACTTCGATTAGGGAATGGAGACCCTATGTTGGAAAAGCGACTAGGGAGTGGAGACACTATGTCTAAAAATAAAAATCAACGAGGGAGTGGAGACCCTATGTTGGAAAAGCGACTAGGGAGTGGAGACCCTATGTCTAAAATAACTTCAACAAGGGAGTGGAGACCCTATGTTGGAAAGAGACCAGGGAGTGGAGACCCTATATCTAAAATAAAATCAACTAGGGAGTGGAGACCCTATGTTGGAAAAGAGACTAGGGAGTGAGACCCTATGTCTAAAATAACTTCAATTAAGGAATGGAAACCCTATGTTGGATAAGAGAGCAGGGAGTGGAGACCCTATGTCTAAAATAACTTCAACTAGGGAGTGGAGACCCTATGTCTGAAATAAAATCAACTAGGGAGTGGAGACCCTATGTCTAAAATAAAATCAAATAGGGAGTGGAGACCATATGTTGGAAAATGCAGCTAGGGATTGGTGTACACTATACTACCATGATTTTGAACTTTCTTTCTTTTCTTTCTTCTTTTTATTATGAGAATGAGTAAAATGCTGGGAATAATTTGGAGAAGACTTCCTTTTTGGAGTTGTTGTTGCTGCAGAGCTGTTTCTAGCCCCCCGCGCAGTTTCTTTTTGGTTGCACCAGCTTCTTGCAAGGTTGCTTTTAAATTGCGCCTGTTTCCTATTTTGTTTTTCAAACAAAGAACAATTTTTCAGTTTGAAATGGTGGTTGGTTTTGTGTCCTTAAGTGTTTCAGTCACTTGATCTCGGCCCAGCTTCTTTGATGATGATTTCAACTGCAACTAGTTGTTTCTGGATACCGATTGCATTTCTGGCCCTGGAGAACCTTTGTCTTTTCCAAAACTTTACCATGACGGTTGGTCGCATGGGACTTAACCTTTTTAACTTTATTTTGCCTTTGCGGGCATTTGACTCTTTTCTTCCAATTTTTAACTTCAGAGCATTGGGGAATCCTTGGCTTTTCAAACCTTGCCAAGACGGTTGGTTGCGTGGGACTCAACCTTTTCAACTTCATTTTTGCCCTTGTAGGCACTTCAATTTGATTTCATTCTTTCGAGAGTTTTCGATTTCAAAACATCAGTCACCATGGCCAGTCGGGGTTGACTTGATGCCCCTGTCGAGGCTGGGTGCCTCTTGAATATTAGCTTGTATCAAACAGAAGCCCTGTAAATCAATCTTGCCATCCCTTCTTCGCCTTAGTTTTGGAAGAGAGTTAGACCAAAAGGGATTCAAATAAATACACACAATGAAATGGACAATGAATTTAGATAAGAGGTATCCATTTCGGGGAAAAGAAAGAAGGGATTATCTTGAGTATATGCGAACTTCAATGAACATGACATGCCTTTTGGAATGGATGCCTGATCTGTGTAAATCGTCCGATTCTCAGAAATTCATCACAACTTTTTCCTCGAAATCGAGAAACCTTGCCCAGGACTGTCAATACCAATGGCTGTGAAGATCCTCTTTTCAGTCAGTAGTGCCCTTTGTGGGCTTTCACCAGCTGACCTCTCTCATTTCTCTTCTCATCGTCATCTTATACTGCCTTTTGCGTGCTTTCACTAACAAGACTATCTCATTTTCATTTTCTCTGCTCTCCATCGCCTAACGGTGCCCGTGAGGGTTTTCACCAATAAGACTCTCTCATTTTATTTCTCCTATTTTGGTTGCATCATATCGAAGTGATTGTATCCTCCAATTTTGAACATTCTCGTTGATTGATCGGAAGGACTTGAAAAGGATTTGGGTAAAAACGATTTGGATTATATTACAACTTTGGAACCCTTTAGGCGAAACCATCGCCGAAACATTATAACATATGCCCCATTTTCAACTTTTGGGGGGATGTGGATTTTTGTTTTGGTATGACTGAACCCCAGAGAGAGGCTGCCTACGTATCCTTTTGGAATCAAGTCGAACGTAGTTTAAGGAACTTTGTTTTTGGTTTTCTTTTGTCTTTCTTTTCTTTTATTTTTTTTCAATAACTCCTTCAGGTTCCAAAGAGGGTAATCAAATAAAGGGAACCGGCTCAAAGGGTTTGCAAAGGGTTGGTAGTGTTTGGATAGCGAGAAAGAAAGCCTTCGTTATCCCAATCGGAGCATGTTAAGCTTCTACAATGGTCAAATGTAATACCTTTTGACTGCATCTGCATTGACGGCTGTCTCAGGATCATTTTCCCTCGATATCTCCCAAATACAGTGCTCCCTTTGGCAACACTTTTCTTATAATATATAGACCTTTTTTCAATTTTGAGCAAATTTTCCTTTGGCTTCTTCATGATATGGGAGAATACGTCTCAGAACGAGTTGCCCCACTTCAAATTTTCTAGGCCGCATTTTTTTGTTGTAGGCACGGGCTATTCTTTGTTGATACAACTGTCCGTGACAGACTGCGGCCATCCATTTTTTGTCAATCATAGTCAGCTATTCCAAATGGGTCTTGACCCATTCATCATCCTCGATCTCATCTTCGACAATGATCCGAAGAGAGGGAATCTCAACTTCTGTAGGTATTACGACTTCAGTTCCATAAACCAATAAGTAGGGCATGGCCCCAACTGATGTACGCACGGTTGTGCGATATCCCAATAGTGCAAAATGCAACTTTTCATGCCATTGTCTAGAACCCTGAATCATTTTCCTGAGGATCTTCTTGATGTTCTTGTTTGTAGCTTCAACAGCGCCATTAGTTTTGGGCCGATAAGGGGTAGAATTACGATGAGTAATTTTAAACTGTTCGCATACCTCCCTCATCAAGTGGCTGTTCAAATTTTCAGCATTGTCTGTAATGATAGTTTTAGGAATACCAAAACGATAAAAAATGTTGGAATGCACGAAGTCCACCACTGCTTTCTTGGTGACGGGTTTGAAAATGACTGCTTCGACCCACTTTGTGTAATAATCAATGGCAACCAAAATGAATTTGTGCCCATTTGAAGCTTTCGGCTCGATTGGCCCAATAACATCTATGCCCCAAGAAACGAACGACCAAGGCACTGACATAGGATATAAATCTAAAGGTGGTGCATGAATTAGGTCGTCGAGTATCTGGCCCTGATAGCATTTTCGGAGGAAGATGAAGAAATCCTTTTTCATGATCATCCAGTAATAACCTGCCCGGAGAATTTTCTTTGCAAGGACATACCCGTTCATGTGAGGCACACATACTCCCGAATGCACTTTATTCATGATCTTTTCAGCTTCTCGAGAGTCTACATATCTCAAAATATACAAGTCTGGAGTTCTTTTCTGTAGGACTTCTCCACTCAAAAAGAAATTGCTGGCGATCCTTCTGATAGTTCTGCCAGCTCGGGATATTCTTTTATTTTCAAAAACCTTTTGATATCATGATACCATGGTTGAACATCTGGCTCCATTTTAATTGCGTTACAGTAACCATGCCTTTCTCGAATTTGGATTTCCAGTGGGTCAATATAAGCATTACCCGGGTACGGAAGCATTGAGGCCAAAGTAGCTAGTGCATCAGCTAGCTCATTATGAAATCGAGGAATATACTTGAGCTCGGCGGACTTGAACCGTTTGCTAAGATCTTCCACATGTTTCATGTACGGTATGAGTTTGATGGCTCGAGTTTTCCACTCACCTTGGGCTTGCCGAATGATTAAATCAGAATCCCCCATGATTAATAATTCCTCTGCATCCAGATCAACTGCCATATTCATGCCCATTATGCAGGCTTTATACTCGGCAGTGTTGTTTTTATAGAAGAACCGAAGTCGGGTTGTGGCCGGATAATGCTGCCATGTGGGTGAAATCAGAATTGCTCTGATCCCGACACCTTTTGCATTTACAGCCCCATCAAAAAATATTTTCCAGGCATTGGTATTCTCTGGAACTACTTCAACCAAATTTACTTCCTCGTCTAGAAAGTAAGTGCTTAGGGGTCGATATTCATCATCGATCGGGTTCTCAGCTAGATGATCCGCCAAGGCTTAGGCTTTCATTGCCGTGCGAGTGACATAGACAATGTCAAACTCGGTGAGTAGGATCTGCCATTTTGCTAACCTTCCAGTGGGCATTGACTTCTGGAATATATACTTCAAAGAATCCATCCCGGTTATGAGATATGTTGTGTAAGCCAGCAAATAATGTCTGAGCTTTTGGGCGACCCAAGTTAGGGCGCAACAAATTCTTTCCAACAAAGTGTATTTAGCTTCATAGCTAGTGTACTTCTTGCTTAGTTAATATATGGCTTGCTCCCTCTTCCCGGTTACATCTTGTTGCCCCAGGACACAACCAAAAGAATTTTTCAAGACTGTAAGGTATAAGAACAAAGGTCTTCCTGGCTCAGGTGGAACCAACATTGCGGATTTGACAGATATTCTTTGATTTTATCATAAGCTTCTTGACACTTATCTGTCCATTTGATTTCCGAATCTTTCTTTAATAGCTTGAATATGGGCTCACGCGTGGTAGTAAGATGATGATGCATCTGCTGATGTAATTCAGCCTTCCTAGCAGACTCATAACCTCTTTCTTGCTTTTCGGAGGTGGCAAATCTCGAATAGACTTTATCTTTGTTGGATCTAATTCAATACCCCTTTGACTGACCATAAACCCCAGGAGATTCCCAGACGAAACTCCGAATGAACATTTAGCTGGGTTCAATTTCAAGTCATACCTGCGCAGACGCTCAAAGAATTTTCTCAGATCTCGCACATGGCCTTCTTGCATTCTGGAGTTAATGATCACATAATCCACAAATACCTCAATCTCCTGATGCATCATGTCATGGAAGATGGCAGTCATAGATATCATGTAGGTTGCCCCGGCATTTTTCAAACCAAATAGCATGACCCTATAATAGTAAGTGCCCTAAGGTGTGGTGAAAGCAGTCTTTTCTGCATCTTCTTCAACCATCAGAACCTGGTGATACCCAGCATAGCAATCCATGAAAGACTGTATGTCATGTTTAGCACAGTTATCAACAAGAATGTGGATATTTGGCAGTGGAAAGTTATCCTTGGGACTTGCCTTGTTCAAATCCCGGTAATCAACACACCCTCGGGTTTTTCCATCTTTCTTCGGCACCGGGACCATATTAGCCAGTTATGTGGTGTACCGGACCACTCGGATCAAACCAGCTTTTCGTTGTTTCATGACTTCTTCCTTGATCTTATCACTAATGTCGGTTTTGAACTTTCTTTGCTTTTGTTGGACGGGTGGATAACCGGGATAGGTAGGCAACTTATGTACCACCAAATCAACGCTCAGCCCTGAAATATCATCATAAGACCATGCAAATACGTCTTTGAATTCAAACAAAGGTTGGATCAAGATATCTCTAGTACTTTCGTCAGTGTGAATGCTTATCATGGTTTCTCGGATCTCTTCTGGACTGCCCTAGTTAACTGGCTTGGTTTCATTTAATTTTGGCTTAGGCTTATTCTCAAATTGTTCAAATTCTCGATTCATTTCCCTAAAAGCCTCATCTTCATCATATTCTGGTTCTTGATTCATTATTTCACAATTAGACATTAGTTTAGGATCTGGGCATGAAGTCTGCAAGCATGTCATGTTATTTAAGTCTGCATTATTAAAACTGAAAAGAAAAAGATAAGAAAAATAGCAAAATCAGAACAAAAGAAAAGAGACATCTATGGACGATAAAATATTGATTACATTTCATTGAATTGAAGATATGAGGGTTTACATCAAAATTAAAAGACAATAAAGTAAAAACATTTGAGTTACACCCTAAAATAACTCGTAATGTATAAGAGATGGCAAGACTGAACTACCGGGACTTCCGCCTGACAGGGAATGGGGTAGCTTTCCAATTCTGGAGCTTGAAATTTGGCCCCATATACTTCACCTTGGCATTTCTCGTGCCTTCCCCTAGTTGGACCATGTGTGACTCATACAACATTTGTTTCAAGGCTTCACAGCTATCATCGATTTCTTCGGCGGTGAAGGCCTTTTCTTCTTCTACCAGGAAATATGAGTTGGATCCCCCTAGGCGAAAAGTTTCAACCTGGGTTAAGCTACGAAAAACACAACCTAGGCGAAGAGTACTTCTACCTAGAACTGTGAGTTGGATCCCCCTTAGGCGAAAAGGTTCTACCTGGGTTAAGCAACGAAAAGCAAACCTAGGCGAAGAGTACTTCTACTCGAAAATATGAGTTGGTTCCCCCTAAGCGAAAAGGTTCTACCTGGGTTAAACTACAAAAAACAACCTGGCGAAAAGTATGTCTACCCAGAACTGTGAGCTGGATCCCTCTGGGCGAAAAGGTTCCACCTGGGATAAGCTACGTAAAAATAAAATAGGCGAAGAGTACTTCTACCCGAAAATATGAGTTGGATCCCCCTAGGCGAAAAGATTCTACCTAGGTTAAACTACGAAAACAATAACCTAGGCGAAGAGTACTTCTACCCGGAACTGTGAGTTGGATCCCCTTAGGCGAAAAGGTTCTACCTGGGTTAAACTATGAAAAGCAAACCTGGGCGAAGAGTACTTCTACTCGGAAATATGAGCTGGATCCTCCTAGGCAAAAAGGTTCTTCCTGGGTTAAGCTACATAAAACAACCTGAGCGAAGAGTACTTCTACCCGGAAACTATGAGCTGGATCCCACTAGGCGAAAAGGTTCTACCGGGGTTAAGCTACGAAAAACAACCTGGGTGAAGAGTACTACTATCCGGAACTATGAGTTGGATCTCCGAAGGCGAAAAGGTTCTACATGGGTTACGCTACGTAAAACAACCTGAGCGAAGAGTACTTCTACCCGGAACTATGCGCTGGATACCCCTAGGCGAAAAGTTTCTACCTGGGTTAAGCTACGTAAAACAACCTGTGCGAAGAGTACTTCTACCCGAAACTATGAGCTGGATAACACTAGGCGAAATCGTTCTACCTGGGTTAAGTTACGAAAATCATCATGGTCGAAGAGTACTTCTACCCGAAACTGTGAGCTGGATCTCCCTAGGCGAAAAGGTTCTACCTGGGTTACGCTACATAAAAACAACTAGGCGAGAGTACTTCTACACAAAAATATGAGCTGGATCCCCCTAGGCAAAAAGGTTCTACCTGGGTTAAGCTACGAAAACCAGCCTGGTCGAAGAGTAGTTCTACTCGGAATTGTGAGCGGGTTCTCCCAAGGAGAAAAGGTTCTACATGGGTTAAGCTATGTAAAAACAACCTAGGCGAAGAGTACTTCTACCTAGAAATATGAGCTGGATCCCCCTAGGCGAAAAGTTTCTACCTGGGTTAAGCTACGAAAAAAACAACCTAGGCGAAGAGTACTTTTACTCGGAATTATGAGCTGGATCTCCCCTAGGCGAAAAGGTTCTACCTGGGTTAAACTACGAAAAGCAAACTTGGGCGAATAGTACTTCTACTCGGATATATGAGCTGGCTCCCCCTAAGCGAAAAGGTTCTACCTGGGTTAATCTACAAACACCAACTTGGCGAAGAGTACATCTACACAGAACTGTGAGTTGGATCACTCTAGGCGAAAAGGTTCTACCTGGGTTAAACTATGAAAAGCAAACATGGGCGAAGAATACTTCTACTCGGAAATATGAGTTGGATCCCCCTAAGCGAAAAGGTTCTACCTGAGTTAAGCTACAAAAACTAACCTGGCGAAGAGTACTTCTACCCAGAACTGTGAGGTGGATCACTCTACTCAAAAAGCTTCTACCTGGGATAAGCTACGTAAAAATAACCTAGGCGAAGAGTACTTCTACCCGGAAATATGAGCTGGATCCCCCTAAGAGAAGAGTTCTACTTGGGTTAAGCTACAAAAATAATAACCTAGGTGAAGAGTACTTCTACCCGGAACTGTGAGCTGGATCCCCCTAGGCGAAAAGGTTCTACCTGGGATAAGCTACGTAAAAATAACCTAGGCGAAGAGTACTTCTACCCGGAACTGTGAGCTGGATCCCCCTAGGCGAAAAGGTTCTACCTGGGTTATATTATGAAAAGCAAACCTGGGCGTACAGTACTTCTACTCGGAACTATGAGCTAGATCCCCCTAGGTGAAAATGTTCTACCTGGGTTAAGCTACATAAAACAACCTGAGCGAAGAGTACTTCTACATGGAAACTATGAGCTGGATCCCCATAGGCAAAAAGGTTCTACCTGGATTAAGCTACGAAAAAATACCTAGGTGAAGAGTACTTCTATCCGGAACTAAGTCGAAATGGTTCTATATGGGTAAGGCTACGTAAAACAACTTGAGCAAAGAGTACTTCTACTCGGAACTATGAGCTGGATCCCCCTAGGTGAAAAGGTTCTACCTGGGTTAAGCTACGAAAAACGGCCTGGGCGAAGAGTACTTCTACCCGGAAATATGAGTTGAATCCCCCTAGGTGAAAAGGTTCTACCTGGGTTAAGCTACGAAAAACAGCATGGTCGAAGAGTACTTCTACCCGAAAATATGAGCTGGATCCCCCTAGGTGAAAAGGTTCTACCTGGGTTAAGCTACGAAAAACAGCATGGTCGAAGAGTACTTCTACCCGGAACTGTGAGTTGGATCTCCCTAGGGGAAAAGGTTCTACCTGGGTTAAACTACGTAAAAACAACTAGGCGAAGAGTACTTCTACCCGAAAATATGAGCTGGATCCCCCTAGGTGAAAAGGTTCTACCTGGGTTAAGTTACGAAATAAACAACCTAGGCGAAGAGTACTTCCACCCGGAACTGTGAGCTGGATAACCCTAGGCGAAAAGGT